AGTTATAAGGAATTCATCGAAATCCAGTTAATCTTCATGTCTATAAATTAGGTAATGTCACAGCGACACAGGAGGTAAGTAATGTGATTCGAGTGCCAATTGTGAAACTACCTTAAACACGGCCGGGAGAATTTAAATAAATATAAGGACCCAAATCCCTGTGTACCACATATAGTAAAGTCATTATTTTTACCTACAAACCCTAAACAGATGCAATCATGCTGCTAAAGTGCTACACTATGTTATTAAGAAGCTGAAGTCACATGCCAAGGAAAGTGGGTAATGGCAGCAGTTATATTAGAAAATATATAGTCTTGCCAAACTAATGAATAGAACGCGCTAAAAAATCTTGAAGCTCAGAACACCATTCTTCTAGATAAGCATCAGCAGCTATATCTGAAAATACACCATCTCTGGTGCGATTTGCAAGAGAGAACGGGGGGGAAAACTCGCTCACGAGGCGAAATAGTTGGTCTCTAAATGTTTTTTTGTTATTCGAAAGAGTATATGAATCATTTGACTCATTCGATTCCGCTATATGCTCTGACGGAGAAAGCTCTACAAGATGAATTTGGAAAGGATCAAACGGATGAAACTGGAGCCAAGCGGTGATAAAAGTCGGATCAGCAGGATGAATAAGAGTGGTCGGGATAAAAAGGATTCCGAGCTGCTTTGTAGAGATAGTCTGGTCACTCCTTACATTGCGCCAATCTATTGAATAACGAGTCCTCAAGTGGGCCAGACGACGATAAAGAGAAGTTGTGCTGAAAATATGCAAAAGGAGGCTAAGTAGGCAAACTACAGGAGTCTGGGCTAATGCACCCAGACGAAGACAATTGTGTAGGTAGGATGACACGTTTCCGCCAGAAAACTAAAAAAATAAAACGATAACATGAGTCGATCAAGAGTGATAGGTCAAGATTTTTGAAGAATTTAATTGATAAAAAAAGGGGACCCAAAATAAAATTATAGTTACCACAAATATAACGATATATACAACACTATATGCTGGGACATGATCTGCATATAACCGTATTTTTGGCAAATGCTAGATGCCTTAAGGAAGATATGACAGAAGATAAAAAACATGAAAATGAAGACAATGGAATAGGCACTTAAACAAAGCTGAATGATGGCAAAAAACATTCTAACTACAGTAGATAAAATAAAAGAGGAACCTGCGTTAAAAATCAAATAATAATAAGTGCTATGTTTAATAATATTCCGAGACATATTTTTGAGCATCTAAAGAATTGGACAATTAAATAGTTAATCTGAGGAAGACATTTTGTAATGAGATGTATTCACCCTATTTCGTTTAAGTTGATGAAAGACTGGTAGAAGAATTTTTCCACAATAATATGAGTAGAACTGACGTTTCCATTGAATTTCACATAGCCTTGTTTTCCCAAAAGTTGTTCTCATCCAGAATAGACTGCGGTTCCGACCTCGCATCGGTCTTATCAACACCCCCAGCGGGAGCCGAACCATGACAGTGCAGAATGTGAGCTTGACACGTTAATCACTCGACCACATTGCCACGAGTGCCTTTGGGTCACAGGGCAGATGTGAATTTCAAGGAAGGCCAGGCTTTTTACCATTTCACATTCTTTGGTGGGATTTTCGATGAATCAAACGTATATTTGCTTTAACAAGGGACTATATTACTTATTTTTTGTATGTAAGTAGAGTTTCGAGACTACCAGTAAATCAGTAATATGAGATTTGTTCACCCTATTTCGTTTAAGGTCGCGGTCTTCCTG